TCAGTGATTTTTATCTTATAATTTTGTAGGTCAGAAGTACAATATATGCTACATGGGTTTGAAGTGAAGGCTCTAGCAGGACTGTGTTCCTTTCTGATGACTGTTGGGGAGAATCCAGTTCTTTATCTTTTCTAACTCTAAAGGCTGCTCACATCCATTAGCTTGTAGCCTCGTTCCTCCGTATGCAAAGCCAGAAGTGTAGCATCTCTTTGATTTTGCTTTTCATATTGTATCTCTGAATGAGAACCTTTAATTTTTTATTTTACAAATCTTCATGTGTACAATATTGATAATAATGTGAATATCTGAAAGTTATTGTGAGTAGTTCCTGCCTTAACATACTGTATACATGCCTGGTTCAGTTTTTGACAAGTGGCATGCATCCAAACTGTCATCTCTGTATACCTATATCAAAAGGACTGGGTCATAAAGAGCAGTAAGGGCAGAGAAAATTGGCATGTTTATAATGGCATTGACGCAACCTCTTTCCCCATACCTGTGCTTCTATCCTTATCAAAATATCTTTATGGAAAGATTCTAATAAGTCCTAAAAGCAAACATGATTCATGAGCCCTTTGAAATAATTGTTTTTTTCAGAAATGTTTATATTTAAATGCATAAAATAAAATAGATGACATAAAATTAAAATTGACATGAAAATAATAAAAATTAATATAGAATTTTAGGTACCAACAAGGCAAATATCAAGATATTCATAACTTCATAGTCTAATGCTTCTACTTTTTGACCTACTCTGTCTCTCTTGATTAGGAATGTTTAATTGCTAAGAAAGAAACAACTGCATATGTGATATTAAGAGTATAAAATTAATGAAATCATATGTTATATAAAGAGGAAAATATTAATGACAGGGAAGTATTAAGAATAATCAACTGTATTTCATTCAGCCCAATGATAGCACACATTTTCCCTTTAGTTGTTTTCTTAATTGTGGAGACTTGTTCTCAATTGTCCAAGGCTTGTGAGTCAAATATGACCGTCTCTGCCCATGACCATGCTCATGGATTTTGGGAACACTCTCCCTTTTATCTGCCATCTTATAACAAATCTTTCTGCTGGATGTCACCAACTACTATATCTTTTAAAGAAGGTGATGCCTCCCTGTCTTAAATGTAAAACAAAGCAATCTTAGTTAAGACTAAATATTATATCCATTTGTGACATGTGCTGTAATCTGCCTAGAAAGTAAGAAGCTAGAAGCCTTTATCCTTTTGTAAACTAGATAATCTCATTTTACACACTTAATTTTGGAAACATAGGAAGTAGAATTAAGTTTCTTTTGTTTATTTATACTGTTTGAATCTGTCTTCTAAAGATGCCTGTATTTCTATTTACATCTATATCTTTATCAATATGTGTTATTTATATCTGCATCTGGCTCTATATCTATATCCCTCTCTTTCTATATATATGTACCTACATATTTTAGTTTCAATTTTAGTGCCAGAAAAATAGTCTTTGGTTAATGACTATACTTGCTTCTCAGTACCCAGTAGTGACTGGCCAAATTTTGTGTCCAAATGAAAGTTTACCAAAAACTCCCAACCTATTTTGCTTGTGGGGACAATCTATGTTCTAATTACTCGAACAATTAATAGAGGCTGTACAACTCAGACTATTCAGACACAGGGTGAAGGCAAGTACTTTCAGAATAGAATGAGAGAGTAAGAAGGAAAAATTGGAAAGGAAATATACAGGAGGATCTTACCACATAGACTGGCAGACTTCACTTTTCAGAGGCATGAGAGTTTATCTGGGGCATTTGATTTTTTAATCAAAAAAGTGCCACATCTTTTGAACATGATTACTTATATTTAAAAGTGCATATTTCCACTTGTTGGTGAGTCCCATACTCCTAAGACTTGATATGGGAAACACACCAAATTTATCTTCTCAATATAGAAAAAGAGATTTTCAGAGATACTTATAGCAATAATGAAATTGAAATAATGCTTCTTTATGTATAAAATTGTACATAAGATGACATTTGATTAAATTGGAGAAGTAATATAAAAGAAGTAATCTAAAGGTTACTTATAGGGTAACTGATTTTATTATTCCTGGTGAATGTTATTATTTAAAATTTGAACTGTTTTTTCATGAAAGATTTTCTTAAAAATTTCAAGTTTTCCTTATATTGTAATTCAAAAGTAATAGTGTATTATATCTAACTGTGGACCATATTCTAAATAAATATTTCTGGATAATTTTGGGGGTCATGATAAGATGGCCAATTGGAAATACTCCTTGAAAATGATTACTTACTTTTATGAAAGGAGAAAAGAATGGATTCCTTGCTTTGTGTATTTTGGGATAACAACCCTAATTAAACATTATTTCTATATGAAAACTAAGAAAATGTTAAAGTTGTCTATTCATTTGACAGTGTTAAACTCTGCAAGGTAGTTGCTTTCAAAAGCATCAATAAATCAACCACACAGATAGGAAGTATCACTGTCAGAAGCAAACCCAAGCCATCTGTTTCCAAATTTCAGGAACTCTTTAGCCCAATGGGCTTCTTTCTCAGGCACTGCTCCCTTAGCTAATTCTTCTAAAATCTCCTTAGAAAGAATTTATAGTCTTACTAATTATTAAAAAAAAACGATTAAACCTAGGATCAAATCCATTTGTCACTTGAAATACATGACTGTACTTAGTGATCCTTAACTAAAAGGCTTCTCTAACCCTCAGACTCATCAGCTGAAAAGGGCAGTAATAATAGCCTATATTTCCTTGGGAAACTTGTAAGGATCCAGGGGCAGAATATGTGTAAAGTGCTCAGTACAGAAACTGTGAGAAGAGAAAAAAGAATAAATCTGTTACTACTTTACAATTTACAGAAAACAGGCATCACAAATTAGGCATTCTGTTTATGTTCTACTAGCATAGATGTTTTTAGTTCTGGGTGATTAACAGAGATTTATTAGAAACCACTTAGTGACATCATAGAAACTTCAGACAATAGTTGTGACTAGCACTATTATTTCTCCTAATATATTATTATTATTATTATTATTATTATAGTTTTTCTTTTTTCCAAAGAGAACTGAGCAGACTGACAGGTAGGTAAATAAGTAGGTAGATAGGTAGATAGATAGATAGATAGATAGATAGGAACTAACAACAAAAGTAAATGCAAGCCATAGAACTAATAGTTTAAAATTTCATTTTTAATATAAATTTATCCTGTTTTTATCCAAAATACTAATCTTGTATCTTTGGAACTTTTAGTCCAATCTCTTTGCATTTTCCTAGGATTCTGCATACATATTTTAATCACATCTAAATATTTTTCAAGTTAAAGAAGTATGCATTTCAGAATTATTTTCTTTCTTAAAAATATATTTATCATTTTTACATATTCATCCTGCAATCTTCATCAGTCCTATTTTAAATTTATTCTCTGACTGTATCCTCAGCTTTGTGTACAAGTGAATGATCTGGATAATTTCCTACTTTCTGGAAGAAAGCACTGTTTTGGGGATATATGGATATTTCAAAACTGTTGCACTCCAGTCTTTAGAATCATTAACTGTTTGACACATATTTCTGCATAGTTTTGTTCCCATCTCTTCTCTAACAATCTTCTCTGAAGGAGTCCTTTCTCTCTCCTTTTCCCCCAGAATTCAAAATTGGTTTCCCTAATCTTAGAACTGCCAACTAATGGAGATATTTGCCTGTAGTGAAGATCTGAGGGAAACTGAGCCATGACGTAACTGGCTTGCTTTCCCAAACCTGCTGTCAATGCTGACAATGTGGAATCTTCTCTCTCCCATGAAAGCCATTTGGGAATTGTATTGTAAACATGCTCTTCTAACCTATAACATTTGGAAATTCATTGATTATTAACTCCAGCCTGTGTCCTTGGCACTAGGGTTGTCCCTGCCATCAAAGGTTGAGTTGACAGTGGCTTCTTTGTGGTACTATTTACAGGGTGAAGAAGAGTTGTCATGAGGACCAGGTTTGCACAGGGTCACCTCTACCCTGGAGTCATAAATGTGACAAGCAAACTCTAAAGTTTCCTAAGGAGTGTTAATATTTAAGAGTAAGGTGGATCCAGGAATTTGTAAATCAGCTATTTTACTTTGAACAGACCGCCAGCCAGTTGTGACATGGTTGAGAAAACTGACAGCTTGTTTGCTGTTGTTTCTTCTTTTTGAAATTTAACCTCTTGGAAAGCTGCAGTCTGGGCTGTTCCATGTCTACACCTAGGCCACCAGAGGAGATCACTTAAAATTGTTTTTTATCAGGGCTATAAATTCCCCTCTAGCAACTTTCTTTCCTCTTTTTAAGTCATTTTGACAGAGCTGCTTTTCTGGATGCAATTTTTGTGTCTTTTGAAAACCTGAGGGCAGAGCACTTAGGATAGGACATTTACTGGTGGAATTTCCTTCCACTTATATTATAAAAAGAGAAAGTTTTACAGATTTTTCACAACACTACCGGATGACTCTTAAATCCAGTTACATATTTATTTCCATGCAATAGCATTTTGGATGTCAGACTCTGTAAGTATTTTTTAGTCATATGCAAACTAAGAACTTTATCACAGCTTCATGACTTTCACATTGCAACCAACAGTTTACCACTTGCAAATAGTTTCAAAAAAAATTAACAGGGAAGAAAAAGCTTTAGAATGAAATCAGTCCCAGATATTTATACCCTGAGTAAGTCTCTCCTTGCAGTGGATGGGGTATGGAAATAATATGATGATTCATGATATTTCTTTCAAATTACAATTGGTCTGAGTTGTTCTATACCAGAAATAACCCTATACAAATAGCCAAAACCTACTGTTTTGGTTTTCTGTTATTATTGTCTCAAATGTCAGTTAGTGGAATTCCTTGGAAAGGAGACTTTGAAACAGTCAACCATGTTGGTAAAATAATGTTTTGTTTGGAAATATCACAGACTGCCGCTTCAAAGTGCTTAATGAATGACTGTGTGTGTGTTACTACAACATTGTTTTTTTTTTAAAGGAAGCTGGAAAACATGAACTATAAACCTACATATTGAAGATTTGTGCCAAATGAAAAGCTCTGTACTTCTTATAAAGAAAATTTTTGCCAAGCACTTGCTAAAATCCTATTGAAAAGTCATAAGTAAATCGGGAAAGTCTGTGATTGGATGCCCAGTGTTTCTATGTGCATTGCCAAGGAATCACTGCTCACCACGCAGAGATGGGAGAGGAAATTTACTTCAGTGTACACCAATATCCTGCCATTCAGGCTGTAGCTTCAAAACCATGATTACAAAGCATTAATTCCCATAAATGTTCTGCAAACAGTGGACCAGACAGGGGAGGGATTTTATAATTTGTAGGTTCTTGTGGAAAAAGAAATGTTGGTGTCTCATTCCCTAAAACCTGGAAATATAGATTACATATTTCTATCTAGAGTTAGTTCATATTCATTTTTAAATGAAATTGTTTATCTAGAAAAATAGTAATTTAAGCTTTTGAGCAGAATTATGACTTACTCTAAAACTTGTGCTCTGAATAATTGTATTCTAATGATTTCCTTATGTCACTCATGACGAAATGTATCTTCCTTGACATCAGAAAGCAAGTTTAAAATTTCATTTTTAAGATAAATTTATCCAAAATACCAATCTTGTGTCTTTGGAACAAAATTAATATTTCTTTGCAAAAAAGCTTTTTACATGTTCTTCCACCCTCTCATATTATTTATACAGTCACAACTGCAGCCACTACCTTTGATTTCATCTGAGCAAGGGCCCACAAACACAAGGTGCAGCTGCTGCAGCCTTCTCATGTCAGGCACTGTAAATCTAAAAGATTGTGCTCTGCTCTTTGAGGCCACTCTCACACTTCTATTTCTCATCATCGTGCTCCAGGCAAACATTTCCAGTCATCTGAGTTTGCACTAAAAAAAAAGAAAAAGAAAAAGAAAGAAAACATATTGCCATTGATGATCCATCTCATCCTGTTGCCTATTACCAGGCAGTGAAACATTATTTTCATAATTTCACTATCCTGATAAAAATTAGCCAGCAGCTCAATATTGCCTGTTAAGTCTCTTAGTTCCTTCAAGACCTACCACAAAATTTCTTCCCAATTTTTTCTTCCTCTCTCTTTACTCTTCTGCTTGGGCTTTTACCTTCCCTACTCTGAATTTCCCATTCTCTGACCACTTATGTGTTTGCTTTCATGTAAGAATCATGATTTGTGGGGCTGGGGATTTAGCTCAGTGGCATAAGCACCTGCCTTGCAAGCAGGCAGTCCTGAGTTCGATCACTGGTACCGATAAAAATGAAAAAGACAAAAAAAAAAAAATCATGCTTTGCTTCTCCACAGTGATGATATCACACCAATCATTGTAAGTCTGCCTCACAATTAATTTCTTTTTCCAAGTTGTCAGTTTAGAGGCATTTCTGTAATCTGATGAGAGTAATAGTGTTAGTTGATTCATCAGTCCACTAAACAAAAAGAATGACTAGAGAAAAAATCATAACATATCTATATCATAAATATTCCAGTTCAAACTATAAAATATGTAGTTACATTAAACTTTTTATTTTATTTTAAAGAGGATGAAACAGAATAAAGCCAATCAAAACAAACCAGAGTAAGAAATACAGGAATTCAAAACCTTACAAAATCAACAATAGTTACCGTAATGTCTTTTGATGTCTTCAAAATAGCTGCAGACAACTTTGGGCATAGAAAAAATCAAACAGAATAGAATAGAACAGGAACAATAAAAACTAAACAATGAATATAATAAACAATTTCAAAACAAGCCAATAGTAAGTCCAAAATTGCTACCATAATATGTCTTTCTATCTTTGAAATAGTTGCTCCTGCCATTGGATTTCACATAATCAAACAAAACAAAAGAGAATAAAACCCATCCCAACAAAACAATGAAAATGATATAAGGACCTCAAAACAAGACCATAGGGAACCAGCAATGGCTGTAACCTGCAGAAGGAGATTCCCCTAGATGACACACTGCATACCACTATTCTCTGAACCTATGATCAGACCACTGGCCTTAGATCTGCAATGATACTGTAACACCAAAGCACCACAGGCATCCAATTTCATTTTACATCAGTAGCCATCATAACAGCCTGTGTTTCTCTGAATAAGCTGGTCTCTTACACAAGGTCAGGGAAGGGGTTGATTGGTACTTCTGATTGCCAGCACTTGTGCTGGAAGGGGCTGGGTTCTGGCTGTTCCCACCTGGTGGAGGCCCACACAGGGCACTGATTCCCAGGCTGGGCTTGCTTGCTAGTGTGACCTTGTTCTCTCTCTCTCTCTCTCTCTCTCTCTCTCTCTCTCTCTCTCTGTCTCATCCACGAATGGCACTGACTCATGGGGAAAGGCATGGGTCTGACAGTTCCCCATCTGATGGCAGGTTTCACATGGCACTGGTTCCCAGATTGGGCTTGCTTGCTTATTAAGCTTTTCATATAGGAACCTTTTCTGTAATTAAGAGCCTGCTCCTAAGAATTCCATAGCATCTTTTTTATACAGAACATATCCATGGTACATCCCCCACAACTTTCATCTTGGTTTATTTAAAGTAAAGCAAGAACATTCCAAGTATTTTGAGTACAAAAATTCTAAGTTTCTGTACTGTTTCCGGTTAATCTTTGACATTTTCTGGCAATACTTAAGTTAATTAGTCAGTATTGTTATTAATTCATGTTTACAAGTCTTTACAAAACAATCTAACTTCCATTTAGCCCCTTCTCCAATATTTGCTTTATGTCCCACATACTTTATTAACATACTTTATATTATTTTAATGACAAGTACTAGTGATAGTTTGATAGAAACACACGTGGACAGCATACTACTTAACTGGCCCAAACAAAGGCTCAGATGTCCTAGAGGGTGACCCCCTACCCAGGCGTAGTTTAGTAGGCTATGACAAAAGGCAATGTATTTTACAGAGTGAAACAGAAATGACATTATCCCAAAGGACTGGTTAAGTAGATGGTAAAGAGAGAGTCTTCTTATTTATATTTGTAGTTTAACTCGTTACTTGGCTCTGATGATATGCTGCTTTTTTGGGGATAATTATCTTCCTGTGTAAACTGTTTTCATTGGCTTCACAGTGCAAGAACATTGTTTAAGATTCCTGTAGCAGCTTCTTCATAGCAAAATGCAATAAAATTATGCTGAAAAAATATGAGTATTTAATAAATTATTGTTACTGATTAAATTCATATGGGAAGGTGAAGTGAAAATACTTTAGAAATCCATGAAGGGGAAACACTGAAGTTTATGACATCAAACAATACACTATAATTTGGATTGAGACACATAATCAGAATGCAAGAACATTTAGGAAACTAACCATAGGGTTCTTGCACTAATTTTTTTGATACCTTGTGGACATGATGCAGTGTCTAAGGCATAAAACTGTTAAGGGGGGGAGTAATTGTTCATAAATATGATGTTTTCTTCTTTGCTAGAATGAGGATTGAAGAAATGAAATAACACTCTAGAAATTTAAAATTTTTTAATTTTTTTATCCCACTGTCTAGACATTGACAAATCACTCTATGTTTCTTAGCTTGACAAAAGAGAAAAGAGAAAGACTGGGAGGTTTGTCCCAGGTCACAGAGCAAGTGGTCTAAACATAGCCAACCAACCACAGGGTAGCCAAAATGTTCTTAGTCAAAAGACTTAATAGCTTTTTACCAAAAATAACTATTTCAGTCAAAGACAGAGGGATAATTGCTAGTTCCATGGACAACATAAGAAACCACATCATTTCAGCCCAGAGAGCAGCATTAAATGCGCACCCACATGTCCTTCGTGTATTTATGTCCTCCAGCTGTGAGACCTTCTTCTTTTTGGCTTCTCTTTGACCCAGAAAAATGATCTGATGAATGTATAAATTCTAGAACAGTTGGAAAGGCATAGTACATAAAAAGTGCCACTATACTAGATAAGCAAATATTTAATCCTTGGATGACCCTCCCTTGCTGACCACATCCTTGCTCAGTCAAGGACCCAGCCAATGCTTTGCAGAGACTGAGGTGATTCTGCATCTGCCAAGACACAGAGAAATGTGTAGTAAAGGAAAATTTAGCCTGGCCTCAGTTTCAGCAACAGGCAACCATTTGCTGGGACTAACAACACTTTCTTTTTCTGTCTGTGCAATGAGCTATTGGAAGTTCCTGGGTTAGTCTTTGTTAACTGCATATGTGGTTGTGATAGAGGCCTTGACTGAAGTGGCTGCTCTTGTAGGAGCTTGAGATTTATTAGTTAAAGAAGTGTTTGTTTAAAATAGAAGCCAAAAACTGGTAGCTCCGAGTGCCGTTCAACCTTTAGTATATTCCTGTGGCCCACGAACATGGCTATTTATTCATTTTTAGAAAGTACACATGGATTTAGATGAGCAGCAATCAATTTCTGTAGTGTACATATGTTCAATGTTTGTTTGTTTTTCTGTGGTGTACATATTTTGAAAACATCTAGTTTCAAGCCACCAACATGACATTTACAAACATGGACTTTGGAAGTGGTTGATAGCAGTGCCTCATTACATAGGTTTCCTACCTCATAGTTATGGTGAATTCAAGTAAACCCAAATGCATATAATGGAAAATGTAGTGGAACAAGTATAAGATGATGAATTCTGAGTGTTCCTCATATTTGTTTTAAAAATTAATTATAAGTTTTTAATGTGTAGTTTAATAAAGGCTGTTTAAAATCTGAATCTCAAAAATTCCACAAAACTTAATACATAGCTGCTGTGAATCAGTATGAACCAGAAGCAAGCATATCATGACAATAACAGCGGTGACCCATCGTGGCTCAGGTTTGAGAGGTTGTTTTTAAATCCCAGCTCTTCCACTTAACTAGCTGTGTGATCTTATCCAGACTACTGAGCTACATATAACCTCCATTTTCTAAAAAGGAAACTAAAATTCATGCTTTTTTGTGGGTTGACAGCAATGAATAAATAAAACAGACTAACAGAAGAGTTAGCATGAGAACTGGCACATAGTAATTACTCAGTAAATAGGGACAATTATTTATTTTAACTTTACATGGGAATTACTTCATTAGATTTATTTTGGTGCTACCTTGAAAGTCTGCCAAAACCACCCCAAAGAAATGAGGATTTTCATAAAACAGGAAAGAAACTAGAGAGACCAGAGAAGCCTGAGTTGAAAGCAAAATTAAGGTACTGAAAAAGAGAAAGAAAAAATGGTATCAAAACATACAGTATTAGAAAGTAAAAGACGTTGGAAGTTTTCCTAAGGCAAACTATAGTTTAAAGATTCATTCTGAGTGCCTCCCAAAAACTGTATAATCTCTGCATAAATGATCAGAATCATTTGGGCTGCAGCAAGCATCAAACAGTGTCATCCAATATCTGGTCTAGCTAATGGGATTGATCTCAGACTTGTGATCTACACTTGATCATTTCTGATGCTCTTAACCTGAAGCCTGGATTTCATACTCAGGGTCAGATGCTGCCAGGTTACTCCAGGAGCACCTAACGAAAGGAACCAAAGTTGAAGAGATGGACAAGATGAATTTCCAACATATAAAAATGGACATGCAGAAAGCAGAGGGGCAGGAGGGAAAGAGAGAGAGCGAAGATAAACGATGACTTCTCACTTCTGGGAAAGTCTGGTTTACCTTGTAATGGTTCCTGTGACATATGACGTTTTCTTTACAATAATTTTTTTTTCTCAAATCCAGTTTGAATAGGTATCCATTCCTTACAAACCAAAGGATTCCAAGCCAGATAATCTCTGCCAGATCTAAATGTCTATTAAAATATATAAAATCACAGTATTTGTGAAATAACATAAGCTGGAAGAGAGGAGATGCCAGCTCCTTTTTTTTTTTTTTTTTTTTTTTTTTTTTTTTTTTTTGCACAGACTCGATGAGCTCTTTGGACTCCAAAGAGATTAAATGCCTTGTACATCATTGACATTAAGCTAATCACTGAGATATTCTAATGCTCAGGTCAGTAGACATCAGGTAGTGCTATAACCCTCTGCCAGGAAATAATGAGCGTATGCTTCTACTGTTGGAATAGCTATATATTAAAGAAGTCTAGAAAATGCTACTCTTCTCAAAGACTCCAGCCCATATTTCTTTGTCTGTTGTTTTCCATGCAAATAGTCAAACCGAAAAAAGAAGCAGAGAGTTAGTAAGCCTAAAACCAGGCTTACAGCACAGGCTTTGCAGTCAGATGGTCCAGTTTTCAGATACTTATTCTTACCTTAAGGAGCTACATGATTGTAGATGAGACACAACCTCTTTAAGGCCTAGTTTCACCTTTGAAAAAACCAAACATAAATAAAATTATCATATACAGAGTTGTTAAAAGACTGAATAAAATAATATACAGAAGTCTCTTTGTTATGTATTAAAAACTGATGGTCATTTTAACACCAGCTGAATTAAATCAGCATGGTATTGAGCGTAGATGTTCCACCAGAGAAAAGTTTCCAGCATAGAGACATGGAGAAGATGAGCTAGGTGTTGTGGGTTTCTCTAAGTGTTGCTGTTTGAGCTGTTGGTTCACCTGGAGGAGCTTATCATGACTAGCTTCCCCAGTGTGAGTTCAACCATTTTTGTTGGAGGAGCTTGGACCTTGTTGGGGAGAATGGTTGTGGTTCACTTTTGAGGATCTCTGGTCCTTACATTGAGCATCACTTCCTAGCTCTGGAGGGGAAGATGTGTGCTGTTTAATCTCCAGGAGAAACTCATCATTCTGGCTTTCTGGTATGTACTTGACTGTTCTTTATCCATCGATGGAGGAGCTCAGAACCTCTGAGTCACTGAGGATGACTGTGGTGCTTTTCAGGACAGCCCTGGTCTTTATTATGAGCATGACTTCTCAGCTCCATTGTAGAACCCTCAACCTGCCAGGACAGCTTCTTCACCCCTCTGGCATAGACTTTCTAGTTTCCACCATTGACCCTTGGGCCTTCCCAGCACGGATCCATAAAACAGATATGTGAGTCCTTCTCGTGGGCTCTAGACCTCCAGTTAGACTTGTGGGAGGCCTTGTCATGGGCTCTAGAACATTCCAGGTCTGCATCTGGACTCATAGAACATTGCTGTGGGATGCAGGCCCTTGGCTGAATATTCTGAGTCTTCAGTGTTGTGGACAGATTTCCTGCACTTTCTTGTGTTTAACTCTGGGTGGCCATCATAAAATAATGTTATGAATTCTGTGTCCTGATTCTAATTGTTCTCCTCGCAACCCTGCCTGTAACACTCTTCTACATAGGAAGCATTCCCTAAATATTAAATTATTCTTGATCTTAGTATTTTTAGTGGTAACAGGTGAGACAAGAGTCAATTTCAGCGGATATTTTCATCTCAAGGATACAGAGATTTTTTTTTTTTCTTAATGGCAGCTTACATCTTCAGTATGAGCATTTATTCATGAGCACCCATTCAGTTTTTCCCTGAAATAGGTATTTACTAAACCATTTCCTGAGAATGAATATGACTTCAGTTTAGAGTGTAGTTAGAATGTAACATGCTTTGAAAATGAGAACTTTCACACTGAGTGATTAAAAATGTGGCTGGCAGTAAATGTAAGAAACCTTGAATGTTAAAAGTCAGCATTAAAAATAAGCAATGCTTTTCCTGGACCTTCTTTTAGGCAAAGCTAACAAAGATCATTAGCCCAGAAGCTCAAATCAGGAAATACTCTGTGAGCATATTTATGCTTCATTAATGCAGCAGAACCAGAGTGTTTCAGCTAGAAGCAATGTATAATGCAACATAATTAAACAGGGGGAGATAGCTCTACCTAGAAAGTTTAACGGACACTGTTAGAACTTTAAAAAAAAAAAAAAAAAAACTCTTACGGTTTTTCTTTATTAGCAAGATCAAAGTAATCTAGGGCAGTGAAGCTCCTGTAGCATATGGATCAACTTACAGAACTTGTTTTAAAACGTGGTTTTCTCAAGTCTCACCCCTAGACATTCGAAGTCAGTAATTCAATAGCACTAACCATTTATCTTTTTATCAGCCTCTCCAGATAATTAGAACCCAGTCCTCACTTGGAGAAACAGTGGTCTAGAATCTCAGATTGAATAACTCTTTACAAAAGAAGGAAGCAAAGACTTTGGAGAGAGCTTTTCTCAGCAGGCTCAGAATGGAATGCAGAACTAATTCTTTAAAAAAGAGAAACACGCAATTCAAACTATTTAAATCTTTCCAAGTAATGTATCTTGACTTTCACTGAATTTTAGAAGGTAGGATCTGTGCATGTACCAGGTGTCAGATACCAGGTGTCAGCATGAGCTCATTCCATCCTGGGAAAAAGTGACTAATGCAGAACAGCAGAAGCATGGGAGAATCTGTTTTGCTGAATCACACAGTGCACAAGAGAGAGAGTTTTCAGTATCGCACAGACATAAATAGTGAAACATAAATTTCTGCATAGTAGCTATGACATAACTACTTTTAAAATATCTCAAAATCTAAGGAATTCTAAGAGCACTCTTGGGAGGCTGGCATAGGGTGATTGCAAATTCTAATCCAGCTTCGGTAATTTAGTGACTTGGTAAAACCCTATCTCAAAACTTTTTTTTAAAAGGACTGGACAGGTAGCTCAGTGTGATGGCCCTGAATTCAATCTCCAGCATATTACAGCAAAGACAAATGAGCGAGCAAACAAACAAACACAAACTCAGAAATTTTGAATTTCAGTAATAATACATGTTTCCTGCTGTATTGGTACTGAGTCTACCCAGTCAAGGAAACAAGGACAGACTTCTGCAGTGGAAGCTGGATTGGTATTTGGCCATTAGAAGGCTAACTTCATCGCTGATAAAATTTCTCTGCCATCAATTGGATTTGATATTTCAAAATTTCGTTTCTGTTCAAATGTTTTGCAATAAAGTACTTTCTATATGTCAGGCACTTCTTTAAACACTCCCCTTAGAAATGGGCCTATTTAGCCCTCATATCCTATGATGTACCCATAATTTCATTAATCCTATACGGTTAATGTTCTTTTATAAGGGAACACACTGAGGCAGAAAGAGGTTAAATAACATGCTCAAAGTCAATGCCATGGGTTATTTTATGTGCCACTTTGGTTTGGCCACAGTGCCCAGATATTTGCCAAATACACTGTTTCTAAGAGGACATTTTTGAATGAGACTTGTATTTAAATTATCAGACTCTGAGAAAAGCCCTTGCCTCCCACACTATCAATGAACTCCATCCAATCAGTTCAAGACTTGGACAGCCTGAAAAGCTGACCTACCCAGAACAACAGGGAGCCCTTCAGCAGACAGTCTTACAACCTCACTTGCAGTTTGAGCCTACCTGGCCTGCTAGAAAACTGCCCTGGATTCAAATGCAAAACTTTCCTGAGTCTCTGGACCACCAACCTTCTCCATCAGTTGTGAACTCAGCAGGCCTCCACAATCATGAGAGCAAATACCTTAAAATAAACCTCTTTCTCTCTATGTCCAGACATGTATTGTTTCTGTTCTGTTTCTCACACAACAGTTACACAATAACACAGTGCAAAAGATTGACTTTGCAGGTGGAGAATAAGGTCTACTTTGTACTTCTAGAGATGAGCCAAGTATCTCTTTTATAAATTCAGAGTCATTGGTGAGTGTAGTATTCTTCATGTTTTTTTCCTATTTATACTGAGGGTATAGTTCAAATGGGAACAATAAAATTCAAGACACACAAAACTCCTGGCAGTGGCACTGAAAAACCTAATGTCATACATGTTGAAAATATTGTATGTTTTGAGTACATCCCACTGGCAAAAGAAAAACTTTTAGAGCATAAGAGATTCAGTGGGCACTTTTTTTTCTTTTAAATCTTTACCTTGCTCTCTGTTAAGTGAACCTTTTCCTACAAGAATCTACCAATACTTGTTGGTAGTATGCAAATTTTAAAACATCACTTTAAAGTTTTATGTTATTGAAAATTAATTAAATAATAAGACAGTATGCTTTTTCTTCTTTCATAATGTATATATGTCCATAATCATTTTCCTTTTCAAAAATCCAAATTTAATTTTTAATCTTTAGGGAATAGTAACCATAAAAACATGACTTCAGATTAGTTCAAAATTAGACCTCAGTCCTTGCTGTGTCCAAAAATTTCAATAAAGAGGGAAAAGATAAGGGCATCCTAAATCTTCCTTTCATTAAAAATTTGTTTTAGATCTATACAAAAAGGCAAATAACGGTTTTAAAAAGTCAAGAGAAGTCCCTGCCAACCCACATACTGAATGTTGGAAGTCTGCAAGGCTTTGCTGGTACAGGTCAGCTTTCACTCTAGAGATAGGTGGCTGGATTTAGCAGTGAACCAAAAGGTTGAGAGTTCCAGAAAAACATAGCTTCTGTACACAAAGAAAACACTTAGCTAAGTTTCAGGACCACTATATCCTTTCTGGCTTTCATTCGTGGCTCAAGTGTTGTCTATAATTTTCCTGACCTAAAATATTAACTGTGAAATTTATATACAGTAGAGGAGGAAGAATGAATTGTTCTGCTTAAGACAGGCTGAGTCACTGTAGTTAGATTCAATCAGTGCAAGAGAGAGAGAGAGAGAGAGAGAGAGAGAGAGAGAGAGAGAGAGAGAGATGGAACACTTGGTTAGTTTCCATCCCACACAAATGTCTAGACACTAAGAACATTGTGTCCAGACCTGGCTCTGACTATTCTTATTAAAAGCTTCATGTAAAATGTCACTGGTTATAGGGGTTTGTTTCTATTATCCTTAAACCTTATGTATATTATTCTACTTTTGTCAACATTCATTCCCATTTTCTATAAGCTTTAAACAATCCCATATGCTGAGTAAATGTAAACACTTTGGAATGT